GCAGCACATCATCCATGCCAATTATAAGTTACATTAGCATGCAATCACAGTTATAGCTAAGACTCATAAAAGCTAACCTAAAACCAGTGTCAGATAAAAAAGAAAATAGGTATTTCCAGAACTGTTAAACTTTCATGAAAAGCACTTCCATGGCTACTGCACAAAACTGCAGAACCTAAGAGAAAGAAGTGTACTGATCCACAAAACAGCTGCTGTGTCCTGTGTAAGCGTGAGGACAGCACTGCAGGGAGCGTGTGCCACAGGGCTTTTTATTAACTTTCCGTTGGGCTATGAGAAACTAAACTGTCAGAAGTAAACACAATTCTGTTTAAAAAATGGGAGGGAAGATGGCTTTATGTTGATACTTCTTAGCTGGTCATTCAAGTAGGGTCAGGTAGTATAGAATGGCACGGGTATGCAGTCTTTACCAAACAGCCACAAAATGCAAACAAGAGACATTCAGTTTGGTGCTGTAAAAAGTCTGGAAGGATATGAATGCTGCAGCATAGAAACTTCAAATTTTTAACAGAATGGGTCTCCTTTTTCCTTTTACCACTCTTATCAGTTTCCCTGTTGTATGTGGATATTTTTATATGCTTTGTCTCTTGTACTTTTTGTTAGTACCAAAAGTATACAAAAGCATATTAAAAATAAAAACTGGTTAAGGACAGTTTCTAAATTATGAAATTAAATTTTTTTTCAGAACTGAGAGCTTACTTAATCTCTTTCTAAAAAGAGACAAAACTGGAAAACAGTCAACATGGATGAAATTTTATAAGTCCTTAAATGTACTCACAACGTCTCCAAAGCACTCTCTACGGTCCAGGTGAAGAAACCTTCAAGCCACTGCCACCCCTAGAAAGTGACACTTAACCACAGGTCCCAAAGGTCTCTGCAACCTCTCTCAATTTTCCCAGGAAGAGAACAGCTTGTGGTTTGAATGGATAAAATGCTGCTGGCCATCTAGGCCTCTGGTGCTGCCATAGAACTCCTACGATACTAGGCTGTGCTCATCATGTGCGTGTCTCCTGTAACTGGGTGGACAAGACTGTCAGAACTATGCAAATCTAACTTCTTTCCCTCTCATTGACCCTGCTTGGTAATCAAGCTGACACAGCAGTCATTAAGGTATCTGACCTCCGAGTCCATCCCTCAAATGGTCAGAACTAGGGAAATAAATTAAACAGGTATGACTTTGCTTTTTACTAACCATTATTATGGGCCACATACTAAGCCAAGCACTTTAGAAGTATTATACTCCATATTTTTTTGAAGCCATTTCAATACGTTCCAATGTCAGATGGCTCAAAAGAAAATCAAACAAGTATTGAGAATAAAAATGAGCTTTCTGTATAAAGCCAAATTCCTATGAAATAAAAGAAAATTGAATCAGAGGTTCATTTGTAGTTAAGAACTGTGTTTAAGGGTTAACAAAAGCACGGCCTATTCAAAGGTAGTTAAAAGTAGTCTCCCTCTGCCTTTCTAAAAGGCCTTCTGGGTCCAAGTCGTATGGCCACCATATTTTCCATGAGACTTAATTTTCTTGGTCTCCAACATTCCACACCTGTGGATCCCTTAACCAAGAAGTCTTCCTGTTGTATCTCTAAATTTGTAGGTCACAGGTCCAACTCAAACCCCTCTTCTCTACCTCTATCTCTACTCTCCTTAGGAGATTTTATCTATTTCTTGTCCAAGCACAGCTTAAGACACCATTTTACATTGAAGATGTAAACGTCAGTTATATAGTAGGTTTGGGCCCAAATGCCTTCCTGACACTACTATAGTCATAGGTACCTCAAACATAGCCTAAAGAAAAATGTCTGCTCTTTACACCTCCTTTCAAACAACGCAACACAGACATTCTCAGCTAGTCATTAAAGACCAATTCTTTCTCCTTCACTCATATTCCTCACATTGTAGTATCTCTCTTCCTTCAAACAATTCTATCCACATCCATATCAACTATCTTCACAATAACTAGTCTACTTCCCCCGTTCTCTGGTGACAATTCATACTCTACAGCCCCTAACCATGCTCCGGATCTTGACCCTGTCACGCTTTTCCTGAGCCTAGCACCTTTTGTAGCCACTCTCTCTGAAAGATGCTGCCACTCAGTGTAGTGGATTTGTCTACAGTCCCAGCACTCAGACGGTTAAAGGCATAAGGAACTGGAGTTCAACACCATTGTTGTCTTTACACTGAACAGGAGACCCTGACTCAAAAAAGTAAAAATAAATAAATAAAAAACAAGCAAAACAAATAAACGATGCTGCCACAAACTCTTCTCCAACTAGGTTCTTGGACAGTATTCTAATCATTATTCAGATCTTGCCTCAGCAAACAGCCTTGCCTCCTAACACCCTGAGACCAGATGTTCTTCCACTGAAAGAAGGAACCATGCTGAAGGCATTTTCAGTAAAACTTCCAACCTGAATAGGGGGTCAATCATAGTTTAAGTCTCTAAGCCCTCCCTAGGTAACTGACATCCTGGTTGGCAAGTTGAGACATGAATGCTAGGCAAGTTGTCCTACAGCAGTTAAATAAAACAAGGAATGAAAAAAGAATAAATACTCCATATAGGGAAACGCCCCCAGGAAAGTCTGCTATCCCTGAATCCTGATTGGTGGAAAAAAGTAACTGTAACTTGGCACGGATGTTTGTGGTTCTCAGGCTTAAAAGCTCTGTAAAATTCTGGCTCAGACTCACAGTTCAGCTCCCAGGTCTGTTCTGCATCCCTGACTGATCAGCTGGGGCCTGACTGCAATGAGCAGATGCTGTAACAGCACAACTTTCCACCATATCACAAACCAGTAAGTTCACAGGTGGTATGATCCTTTTCTTCTAAGTTTCCAGGAAGAAAGCTACAGTGCCCCACACAACACAAAGACTTTTTTTTTTAATTTTTGAGTGAAGAATAATCAATCTACTCATTACATTACTGCGTATTAAATTCATTATAATAATATGATCTAAAAAAATCCGAAACATGAATGAAATCCCAACAGTGACAACCCAACCCATTCTGTGAGTACAAAGATCTACTTACGGAGCCCCACAGAATCCGGTGTGCCATTATCGTTCTTACTAGGTTGTACTAGTGGTGCAAAGGAAACAGCAAGGATATTTTTACTTTCCCAAGTGTTTTGTCCAGTCCGCATAATCTGTGTTAACTATTTGGAGTGAAACAAGAAAGAAGCAATGTGATTATCTTAATTTCAAACTTTTACAATTGCCGATGAGAAGGTAACATTTAAATGCAACCAAGTTATTTTAAGTATTATAATACAAGCTATCTGTCACCCACTCCACAGGAAATGTATAGCTGGTATTTCTAGTCTGGCCAAGAACCTGTAGTTGAGGAGCTCACAGAACACAAAGGAGAATCCACCATTATTATTTAACTAAATGAGCATAATAATGAATGTCTATCATGAGTAAAGGTCTCAGTCCTTATCAGAGACCCATAATTTGTCAAACTTCAGAGAATAAGTGTCTGTGGAATACTCAGCCATAAATGGGACATCTGTATCATACTTTCTCACACCCCCAAGGCTCAGGGAAAATCACTAAAAAGAGGGCAAAAACAATTATAAGAACGAGGTCACAGAGCACTGCTCTCAATCAGAGTTTTTCTGGACATGACAGGACCATGGCTCACAGCAGCTGCTGGTCGAAACTTCAGCATTGTATGGAGGGCCTAATGAAGTCCCACCCATGGCAGATGTAACTACTGACAGGTGATAGCTGCTAGAAATGGAAAGTCAGTTTCCTTTCGGGATGGAGTCCTTGTTAGTTTGACTGTTCTCCAGTGGATGGTGCTACAGCGCTGTATATGAACAAGAACTTCTACAGGTACCTCTACAGACCTGCACACAGCACTGTCTCCCCAAATAAATGTCGGAAATAGGTCCAGTCATTTGGTTACAGCACTGTTAATAAGACTGTGTTTTCATTAATATGTCACTGATCTCTCTTTACGCTCTTATATATGTTCTTAATAAATGAGATTCACTGCGAACAAATATAGTCAGGGCCAGAGAGATGGTTCAGCTGGTGAAGGTGCTTGCTGCCAAACCTGACACCTGGGTTTCACCCCTGAGACCCAAGTGGCAGAAGGAGAAACCAATTCTTACAAGTTATCCTTTGACCTCCAAACATGTTCTGGCATGCCCCCACACATATGTGATACTGAATGTAATTTAGTATGTTTTTAAATAAGCACAAAAGGAAGTTTCTTTAGTCAGCAAACATCTGTAGTTTCAGAATGCATATAATGCCAGGAATATACACACTAAGACACTGAAGTCCTGAATTACAGGCTAGCTTGAGTCACATAAGATCCTGACTCACGAAAAACAGATCTTCAAGCACAGATCTTCAAGATTTCGTTAAAGGAAATCAAACAAGTGAGTAATCTTAAGTTTAACCTCAGACATGCTCAAGTAAACTAAGCATATGCAACTGTGTGCATGTGTGTTAAAAACAGTGCACACTGCACTCTCACCTCCACACATTCGCAGTGAGCCAGGCACGTCCGTTTTTCCTTTTACTATAAGTGCCACGTACAAGTGTGTGTGTGTGTGTGTGTGTGTGTGTGTGTGTGTGTGTGTGTGTG